TCTAAGGGGTGGCTGCGTGGGTGGTGCTTGCCGAGGGTTAATAGGACATTGGCGCCACGGTGGCGGCTTCGAGAAGTACGGCCACGTGCGTCCGCTATCGAACGGTCGCCACCCCTCTCTCTTCCTTCTCTTCCCCCTCGTATTCCCCCTTGCCCACCGCTCCTTCTACCACGAACTCTATCGCGAACCACCACGCCCCTAACCCCTTCTCCACAACCTCTATTTCTGCGCTATATTATATATATACATTGTATATAAATTGCATATACATTTAATATATAAACGTATATATGTATATTAAAAGCTGTACCTGTATGTGAATCAACATACATGTATGTATTTATATATGTATATATATATATATTTACGTATATTCTAGCTAGGCTAGGTTATATCGTACTAGCCCAACCGAAATATATAAATATATATGTATATGTGTATGGTTCTCTTTTTCTTTTTCGTTCATAACACACGCGTACATATATAAATATGTATATATATATAGTTTTACAGTGTATACCTAATTTGGAACGTATGTATTATTTCAGAATGAGAAAAGAGAGATAAATCGTGCCACGCACTCTCTCGACGCCTTTTATTTAATTTCTTTTCTTTTTTTTTTTTACTTCTTTACTTTACTTTACTTCACTTCTCTTCTCTGTACTTTCTTTCCTTTTGTTTTTCCTTTCTTTTTAAATTCTTTTTTTTTTTTAAACATCGAGTACTTCGATAAGGTTCACGTATGTGCGCATGTAGGTGTGTGGTGTGTATACGTTTTCATTGAAATGGGTCATCTCGGCGCAAGGACGCCTTGATCTTACCTCTTCTTCTCTTTCCTACCAACAGAACAGATCGTGCGCGTGTGAAGATAGCTTCTGTCTTTCACACTCACTCATCTCTCTTCTCTCTCTCTCTCTCTCTCTCTCTCTCTCTCTTTCTCTCTACTTGATGGCGAACGTGCTCGCGCGCTCTCCTCGGAGGAATTTTCAAGGTGGACTCTTCGAAGGCAGCAGTATGCGTGCGAGAAACCCGCATCACATCCTCTCAAACCAGTTTCACACGGACTCCAACGAAACCTTCGTTTCTTCGGCATCATCGTGCGATTAGTATCCTTTTACCCCCTTCCTCTTTACATTTCTTCGTTTTTTACTTTTCTTTATTTTCCTTTTCGTTTCATTTCTCTATTTCTTTATCTCCCTTTCTTTATCCCTCTCTCCTTCTTTTTTCTCTTCGCTTGTTTTTTCCTATCCTTATCGACCAACTCTCCTTCGTTTGCATTATTCTTGAACATTCAACGAAGGTAACAACACGAAGGTGAATTTGTCGAGAACATTTCGTCACGCACAACCTGCCCTTATTAGTTTTCTTCTTGATTTTCTTTCAATCGAAAGGGTAGAAAAAAAATGATAAAGATTGATCGATTGATAGTCTTCCTCTTTCGTCATTGCGTAAAAAGAAGGACACATGATAGGAAACTATTGCCTACCTCGTATCATTTGGCTTTCTTTCTTTCTTTCTTTTTCTTGTTATCCTTCGACTTGATTCTATATATGTATCTATCTTTCCTTCCCGTTCATCTATCTCAGTCGGTAATTTCAAGAAGACGCGTTTTTCAAAGCCCCCTATAACCGACCGAACGTCTCCCAACGGTGGCTTGGCTCCAACGGAAAATCTATATCTCGAGGGATGAGGTGGGGGAGAGTGTTGTAATACTAGTAGTAGTGTAGTAGTAGCAGTAGGTAGTAGTAGTGTAGTATACGGCGCTGGTAGTAACGCCGGCAATTATACCGCTCGATTCAAACATCCCTTTTTCTCCATGTTTTCTATGTTTTTTACCCAACCCTGATGCATGTTTTGTTAAAGTATCTGAGATGTAGAAATTTTGTATTCTCGTCTATTTTAAAAAATAAATAGGTAAGAGCTACTATATTGTAGTAGAAAATAATTTCTTGAAAATAAATAGCCTGCTGGAGTGATCGAGGGAGGGAAAAGAATCGCGTTTTGCGATTATACGAGTAATGCAACTCTTCTATTATGTCCCTCCGTCGATTTTACACTCCACTTTCTTACGACGATTTTACTCAAGTTGCCTACCAGCCTTCTGGCTGGCTGGCTGGCTGGCCGGTTGTCTCGTATTCTCCTTTCAAGAGCGTCCGTTATTCGTCCTCGTGGAAAGGCTGGCTCCTCGCGGTATCGTCGATAGACGGCGGTAGTGTGTGAACGGCCCTGTACGCAGAAGCGCGATACTTGCCCTAAAGTGGGGGTACTGTAAAACGCTGATAAGGGAGTGGGGGTAGCGTGAGAAGGATGTAGAACGTGTCGGACAAAGAGCGGCGCATTACTTGTGCATGGGGCGTTGCCATGGCAACACTGTTCCTCTCTTTCTCTTCTCCTCTATCACTACCACCACCACCACCGCCGCTATCACTGCCACCACCATTGCTTCTACCTCCTTCTCCTCCTTTCCTATACTCTTTATCATGAGAGAGGGGGTGGATCGAGGGAAGTGTGCGGAAAAAGGGGAATGCTGGTAGAGAAAGATCGAGCGATATACCAACGTTGGAACATGAGAGAGTAAAATGGAACGACGTAGGGTGAAGAGATGAGAAGAGATGAGAAGAGAGGAGAGGAGTAGAGTGGTAGAGGTGGAGGAGGTTGAGGAGGTGGAGAGAGTCGATTACCAAACGCGAGGCCTTCGGTGCAATCAACCCGTTGCCCCCTTGCGAGGGTAAAACTACCCTCCGGTCGGATAAGGATGGCAGCTGGAGGAGGGGTAGTGGAGAAGGCGGATGGTCGTCCTTGTGTGGGTGTACGTCGCGCGTGTGAGAGGTCGTCGAGCGAAAGAAAGAGCGTGGGGCTGTAGAGTAGGGGGTTGGGAATAGTTGGGTGGGAAGTATATAGCAGTACAGCAGCAGCAGCAGCAGCGCTGCCAAAGGAGGAGAGTAAAAAAGGAGCGCTAGGAGAATTACGAGAAAGATTACATGCGAAGCGACGTCGACGTCGACGTCGAGGACGAGACGAGGACGTACAACGAGCGCTCGGTCGGTAAGGCAGCAAGGGTTATCTCTTCTTAGAGACACGCAACGCGCCTCTTTTTTAAGTCGATTATTTGCGAATCGCTAAGATGACCTTCTGCTTATACCTCTTAGAGGGTATCTATCGAATATATTAAATAAAAAAAATAAATATAGAGATATGTGTTAGCTAACACACACGTCTTAAGTATATTTTCGAATACGTCTCTCTTTCTGTCTTTTACACGATTGAAATCCTCCCTGAAGCGATGAAGAAGGAGAAATGCTTTCATAGAATTGAGATCGATAACATAGCAGCATGTGTTCGATCGAAGCTCTGAAAACGGGACGCTTATCAGCGTGGACGTCGACGACAAACGACAACGACGACTAGAGACACCTTGCCGTTTGTCCTTGCTAGCCTATAAAATGTACCTATATGTAGATTTAGTATACATGCCACCTCCAATAATATATTTTACTGTATCATATAAAAAGGATCATCGACGTAGTGAACAATGACAGCAATAACTATGACGACGACTAAATGCTAAGACAAACTATTGGCCTGCGAGGGTGTCGAGAGATTTTCGTTTCGTTTCTCGTTTCTCTCGCGCTGGTAACGCGTGGTTGCTCTATTCTCCAGGAACCAGTTTTCCTCCACGCTCGTGCACGCGCGAGCGCAAACGACACAGAGATAGGAATGAGAAAGAAAGAGAAAGAAAGAAAGAGAAAGAGAGGAAGAGAAAGAAAGAAAGAAAGAAAGAAAGAAAGAAAGAAAGAAAGAAAGAAAGAGAGCCTGGCTCGACGAAGAACTCTCTCACGTATACATGTTCAACACTTCGACGAAGGCCGACGCGCTCCTGCGTCGAATGAGCTCGCGCGCACATGACTACACACACGCACACATACGCATGAGCTCATACACGACGCGAACGAACTCACTATACACGTCAGCTAAACTAGAAAGTTGCCCCGACCGACAGCGAAGAAACGACCGGTGGTACGCCGTTCGGCTAAAGCCTTTCGAATTTAACTGAGAATGTTTTCTACTTTATGACGTGCCAAACGATTTCCGTCGAGGAACTTTGGGAGAATTAAAAAAATCTCGTTTAAATTCTATAAACAGGAATAAAAAAATTATATCCGGAATTTTTCATCATATTTTCTTTATTATCTATATTTTCTCTTACATAAATACAATTAATATAAAAATGCATGCAATGTTTCATGCGATATCAGATATATTTGTTTCTATAGTTGAAATTTGTATAGAACAGATTTGAAAATGGCGCGCACAATTCGCATAGCTTTCACCGATGAAAAGTCGTTCTGTTGTATGTGTGTGTTGTTGTTTTTAACGCTAGCTTTAGGAGTTAGTGTGTATAAATCACATAGACGGCGTAGTGTATTATCCCGCGTAATGTTTTCACGGCGACAACCCCATTCCTGCGAGTAGAAAGTCTCGCCGGTAGAGGTATTTTACTCGGCGCAAAAGCGACATCGCGGCATGGCTCGAGAGCGTGGGTATCAGCACGGAACCGAGTCCTACGACGTGTTGATGCTGCGTTGCCACGTTTCGAGGTTTCTCCTTCCTTTTCTCTCTCTTTCCTTCTCTCTCCCTTTCTCTCTCTCTCGCGCTTAGGTACTCAGCCGTATCGTTGGTCGTTCCGGCGAACGAGCCACGCAAGCGGTTCGACGTTGCCGCTTCGTGCCAACTGGCGGGAAACCGAAGTTTCGAAACGAATTTTCTCCCACTTTGTTAACGCAAACGAGAGAGCCGAACTCGCCAATGTACTTTTCTCCTCGACTCGCGATCTCTTTCTTTCTCTCTCTCTCTCTCTCTCTCTCGTTTCTCTCTCTCCCTTTTTCTTTCAGTTTCTCTCTTTCTCTCTCTTACTTTTGCCATCTTTTTCTTTCATTATTTCTTATACGATTTCGAATTTGAAATTCTTTACCGTCTAATATTATTGGAATATATCGTAGGTGTAGGAAGAACTGACGTAACATCTCCATTTTCCTTTCGTGGAAAGTTACGCGACGACGGTGGCGCCTCTGACGTACGACTAGACGACTTTCAAAATAGAAAGGCCCGCCACTTTGAAAATAGGTTTCGAAATATACGTGGCCAGACGCTTGATCCCTTTCGAATGTGCGTGCGGCCTCTAAAATAGGGAGGAAGAGAGAAGCTTGACGAAATGGAAGGAAAGAGGAGGAAGAAGAGGAAGGAGAAGAAGCAGCAAAGAAGAAGAACGAACGAACGAGTGGAAGAGGTAAGGAATATAAGAGAAGAGAAAGATAGAAGGAGTGTGGATGGGGTGGTGGGGTAAGGAGGGGAGGGGAAACGATGGCGCGACTCGAGGCAGCCTACAGGGAGGAAGGAGGGTAGACGGTTTTAGACTACGGACTCGCCGCGTCGGCGTCGAGTTAAAAATAACAGTAACAGCGGCAGCAGCAACGGAACGGAGAAAGAGCCAGCCAGTCCTCGGTGTGTCTCTACGTTGACGACGAAAAACCAATCTCAAATATGAACTTTAATCGATTAGAAAAAAATCATATATAGGTTTCCAAAATGATCCCCAATCGTGAAGAAATTTGTCTTAATTATAGGAGAGAGATATTTCTTTCCTAAGAGAGAAATGATAGAAATGCTTTTTTCTTTTTCTATGGAATAATTGTTCTTGGGTTTTTTCTGTTTTTGTTTTTGCTTTTTATTAAAATAAAATAGGAATATAATTCTTCGAGAGAGAGTAGGAGAGAGAGAGAGAGAGAGAGAGAGAGAGAGCATATTCTTCTTCAGGTTCATTTGCGTCCCAAACGAATTTGACTTTCACGAGCTGTTCTCGTCGTAACCTTGGCTCTTCTTACTCACGCTCACGCGCTTTAGCCTGTTCGCCCGCTCCGCCGAATTTTATTTTTGTACCATGGCGCACTTGCCTTACTCTTGTTCTCCAATTCACCCTAATGTTCTATTCGAGATACCAATAAATGGGATGTTATTTGAAAACAACTCGCTAACAATAATTCCATCTGTTCTATCCTTTTTATACGGATTTACTACAACTTTCTGAAAGTCTTGATAAGAATTTTATAATTTGTAATTAACATAAATGTCTCTCGTTAATGAGAAATCATTATCGAAGCAAGAGCAATCGTAATCGCCATTTTGAAAAATTCGATCCATTTGAAAAGATGCGCGTATCTCTTGGTGTCGCATAATCGAGCATGGAATATTTTGTAGTTCATGTAATTGGATATAGTCAGAGTTATTTATCGCGAACGAAGCCAAGAGAGGAAAAGAGGGGAATGTTAAGCTAGGAGTCGCGTGGATTATATCAGAGAATCGTGGTTTCTTCGCGCCTTGCTTTGTTTCAACGCCTTCTATGGTCTCGAGCCTAAATACGATTACGAAGAAATCGTAGTAGAATTGTTAATCAAATTTTTACAATTATTCCTTCTGTTCATTTGATTCTCAAAAGTTTGCGTGATAAATTGTACAAAACGTCAATCGTTGTTGTATTTTACTTCCGTCAACCCTTCGTTGAACACCCTTTTTTTTTCCCCTAACCATTTCTTCTTTCTCATACGATCAGGTGGCTGTACCTGTCGACGCCACCTTTGTCGTAACTCGTTTCCAACATCCTCGCGGTTAACCCTTCGCCGATGGCAGGAATCCGATTTACTGCGAACATAAACGTTGTCTTATCGACGTACTAGCGCACGCGACGTCGTTCGTCGATATTCTTAGCTCGTACGAGACAACTCAAGTGTCTACAGGTATACAACACGATTTGCGTATTCTCACATATGGCGATATTTTCAAAATGGTACCATAAAATATCGCACGCAACTTCATATATTCGAACGTTTCTATTTTTAAACAAACAAACAAAATCAATGATAAAAGAATTTTATCCTAAATTGATACTTATAACTACGACGGAAAACATAATTTCGTTCCTTAAAATGTTCAAAAGTACTCGCATCTAATATCATCGAGATCTCATCGACCTCCTTTCAAAATATTCTTCTTATTTTTTATTTTGAACGTTCGCGTTAATTACTTCTATTCTTTCGATCTCAAATCGTTCGAAATATTTTCCTTTTAACATTTCGCATGTTTCATCGACAAAGTATTAATAATTTTTCTTTCATAATTTTCTTTTCATTCAAAAAAAAAAAAAAAATTATCATCATTTGATATTATAAATGAACGTCGGAGTTTTTGTTCATTAGAATGTCGGGAATATTCCGAGCCTACTGGAAAGCCCGTTTAAAATAAAATTTATTGCATCGATTATTTCGATCTAATGCAAGCCTAAGAGTATCAACGATTTCAAACTATTCCTATATATACATAGAAACACATACATATAACAAATACATGTAACTGTGTATATATTACTAGGAAAAAGAATAGAAATAGCTGGATAACTCAGGACACGGGAACGCTTATTACCGCGAAGTCAGCATAGCTCGAGGCGATCGAGCAAGGACAGTACCGCTACGGAGAGTATAGCAACGTTTCCCATTCCTCTTAGTCCTTCCTTTTCTCCTCTTATAACTTCTTTCTTCCTCCTTCCTCTTTCGCTCCTTCTTTTTACTCTTATATATCCTATTTGAACTCGCGCGAACAACATTTTAATGTAACGCGAATTGTGCCGCCTAACGTCAAGTTGACAAAGTCCCTATCCTTGCTTCCAAACAGAAAACAAACAAACAAAAGAAAAAAAATATCAAAAACAAGAAGAAGGAAAAGAAAGAGAGAGAATAACATGAAGTTGGAAAAGTCCTCCTCCTCCTCCTCCTCCTCTTGTACACGGGTTGAAAAAAAAGGAAGCAAAAGCAAGAAGAATGTAGAGAGAAAGAGAAGAACATCGTCAAGTTGGAAAAGTCTTATGCACGGTTGAGAAGAGAAAGAAGAAGCAAAAACAAGAAGAATGTAAGGAGAAAGAGAAGAACTATCAAGTTGGAAAAGTTCTACGCACGGTTGAGAAGAGAAAGAAGAACTAAGAAGAAGAAGAGGAAGAAGAAAAAAAGAAAAGAAATAGAAGAAGTAGGATCCCGCGAGGACCAAGAGGACGACAGTCGAGCGTTCGACACGGGCAGGAGAGGTCGTTGAATCCCATTAAGCGGTACTCTTCGATCGTTTCGCTCCGACCACCTGTATACGAGTCGTTCGTTTCGATCGTTGCCTTCTCTTTCCTATGCCTCTCCCCCTCCTCCTCCACCATCTGTTTTACCTTTTCTCTCTTCCTTTTAAACATATACATTCGTACGCATATATATACACGTATAGGAGGCTATCACCTTCGACAACAACGAAGCACCAGGATGAGAACAATTATGGAGAACGCTCGAGAGCAAAGAGAACTTTCTGCTGCTGCTAAGTTCTTGCGAATATATCCTACATGTTCATGCTGATAGACACATACACACGTTCGCTCGCGTATAAACATGAATACGTGTACTAGTAAGTGTGTATCATTTCCAATGTATGTAGGGATGTATTATATACATATGAGCAATATATGTATGAGAATAAGAGAGAGAAAGAGAGAAAGAGAAACAGAGAGAATATTGCATTCTCGTTTTCTCGTGTATCCAAGGCGGCCACACCTTTCACCAACACCCAAGCCAGCAAGCAGCCTGTTGGCTAGGCCAACCAACAAGCAAGCAAGCTCTAGGCCGTGCAATGGTAAAACGACTGTGGATGCTCGTTAGTAGTTGCTCGCTTGCTTATTCGCTTGCTTACTTGCTCGTTGTTTTCTTTTTTCTTCTTCTTTTTCTTTTTCTTTTTCTTCCCGTTCATTTATTTTACCTCTGAAAAACCTGCTCCCTCCTTTTCCCTCTATTTTGTATTTTATTTTATTTTTTTCAATTTACGACTAATCGATTCGATTTGTCAAATAGCCAGGGAATGCAGGATCCAAGATCCATTTGTGCAGTTGCCTTACATGTCTCAGAAGGTTAGAAAAAGATTCGGAACTTGAGTTAGATCGAGAGAATGAAACGTACGAACAAGCAGGCAAGCAAGCAAGCAAGCCAGACCCAAGCTAAACTCAGACCAACCCAGTCCAGACAGGCAGAGAAACGACTGCAACCGTCGAAGGGGGATTTCTCTGCTGTCGCTTCGACAATCCGGACAAAAGAAGCAGGGACCAACAGCCGACCCTTCGTATAAAAGGTTCCAACCCTCGTCTCTCGCTCTGTTTTTCTTCCTTTTTCTATCTCTCTCGTTCTCTTTCTTTCTCTTTCTGTCTTTTTTTCTGGCCGAGGGTTTATACGGGTTGCTCTACTACGAGGCCAACAATACGACCTAGAGTTTTACCGACACGTACGTACAAGAAACGTACTCGATATTGCTGCTGCTGCTACTACTGTTAACTGACCGACCCTCTTTATCGGTTTGAGTTTGAATATGCGAATGGATTTGCCAATGGTCAGCAATTCCTTCTTAAAGAATTCCTGTGAAAATTCTTAGGTGTAAAATAAATTGGCAATAAGTTGTTTTACCTATCGCAAAAAGAGAAAGTTTTCATTTCACACGTACCAGATTTAGATTTATTCCTAACATTTACAGAGTTACATGAATAAGTGTATATCAAAATTTGATTCGTTCAAGTTCCTCTCGATCTATTATTTATGATATTATTACTGTTAACTGTGGATAAGAGCATATATGCAAGTAAGTAGGGAGGAAATAAAACATGTCCGTTTTGCTTGCCAGCCAGCCAACCAGTCACTCGTCTAGATCGTAATCGCGATCTCCTACCATCGGGACTCTACGACTTTCTCCTCGAGCGGCTCTTTAATGTGCCTTATTAGTTAACATCAAGGTAGTTTGAAATTTCTATTTTGTATTTTTCCCCTGAAAATTTTCCAAATTATAATTAAAAATACGTAGACGAAGAAAACAAAAAGAAGAAACGTAAGAAGTTTAAATGGCTTCGACATCCAATAAATGTCTTTTTATAGGCGTAGCTTTTTGTTAAAATTCTTAGGCCTTTTAAACTTGTTGTTATTGTTATAGTCACGTTCGTAACAAAAATGTTAGACCTGAACGTGAGAACCTCTGCTATTGCTATTGTTGCTGTTGTTGTGTTGCTGCATAGCCCTGTCTGCCTGCCTGCCTGCCTGGATGCCTATTGCTTTGGCTGCATGTATTTGAACCTTTCTATCTATTCAGGAACGTTATAGCAAACGTGCTCAGGTTTGAAGGAAGCGTTCTGTAAAGTTCCCCTTGGGTTGGTCCTCCGTCCGACCCTCGTCA